CATTCCTGGGGAGACCTCAAAAGCCTGCTGCTGGCCTCCCACCCACAGCAAGGCAATTTAGAGGGACCTGAGCAGGCTGAATCAACCATTATCTCCCTTTTTGTAAAAATGTATTTTGCCTTAGCTTCAGAGAGAGGTGGCTTTAAATTGTAGTATGAATAATTAGACCGCCTTAAAAGTTGGAATTTTGGTGGTTTGGGTTTAATATATTCATAGTTCAGCTTATTCAGATTTGTGACTATGTGACCTTGATGTCATCTTTTAAAATGGTTTTGAAGTAGGTTCCTAATTTGCTTTCATCACGTATGTCAACTGGAAAAAAATGCACAAAGTAAGAGTTGTAAGTTCTGTTTGGGGCAAAATGGGGACTAGAGACTGGGAGACAGCATTTCATTTTTTTTTTTTTCCTCAGCCCCAGCATGCGCTTGTGGGATCTTGGTTTCCCAACCAGAGGTTATTTATCTAAAGGCCTGTTTCGCCAGTTTTTCCCAGACCACAGAGTGCCTCATTCCTGATTTCTACCCTGAACTTTTCAGGATGTGTTGAAGGTCAGCAGCTGCAGTGGCTTGTGCCTTAATGCTTGTAGAGGCAGATATGTCAAGTGCCAGTTTTTAGTTGACACACACACAGAGACGTGTTTTTAAGGAAGTTCTTCCAGATAGTGTTTTTTGTGTTAAAGAATCTTTTGCAAGTGAACTAAGTAAAACAAAATTCAACCTGGTATATAATGTCATAAGTTTGCAGTGACTTAGTGGCTGGAGTTGATCATTGGTTTACACTTTTTTTACTTGGAGAAAAAATTAATTAATTGAGTCTTTCATTTTTAGATTTAAAAATGTGTGATGTTGAGAAGGGCAAGAAGATTTTTGTTCAGAAGTGTGCCCAGTGCCATACTGTGGAAAAGGGAGGCAAGCACAAGACTGGGCCAAATCTCCATGGTCTGTTTGGGCGAAAGACAGGTCAGGCTGTCGGATTCTCTTACACAGATGCCAACAAGAACAAAGGTAAGAGGGGGGCCATTGTTAACTAACACAAGCATAAATTGAATGAATGTAACCTTTGGTAAACACTTTTTCAGGAGTGTGACATACTTAACAATACATCCCTCCTTGTTTAGGCATCACCTGGGGAGAGGAGACGCTGATGGAGTATTTGGAGAATCCCAAGAAGTACATCCCTGGAACAAAAATGATCTTCGCTGGCATTAAGAAGAAGGCAGAAAGGGCAGACTTGATAGCTTATCTCAAAAAAGCTACTAATGAGTAATAGTTGGCCACTGCCTTATTTATTATGAAACAGATGTCTCATGACTTTTTATGTGTACCATATTTAAATTGATCTCATACACTAGAATTCAGATCATGAATAGCTGATGTAATATTTCTGTCCTGATTTAAATAAGATTGGCTTGTGGCTAAATGAATATGGTCAGCTTTTTGAATTTTGATAGTAATTCTGGTTCAGCAAGTACTGTCACTGTTTTCCCCTTCTAAAGAGATGATTAAACTTGAATAAGGAATGTTAAACTTTTCAGGGATATGGTGAATGCCTTCTCAGACCCTATAGGAGATTGGTTTTATATTTAGATTTCTATAACTGGTTATATTAATATATTTAAATATTGAGAAGCTCCCTTCACTGTCTCATAGACCAGCAAGATTCACCTGTGTTTCAAGTTGTGTTCATTCACCTGTTAAGGCAAGGCTGAAGATACATTGACAGTGTCCACTTTATCTTTTTGGTCTTAAATATGCCAATTTAATTAAAATTCTCCATCTAAAATATTGCGTTTTACTTAATGAAGGGCATTTTAGTGTGGTTTATGTATAGCATCAGATAAAGAATATTTAGTACTTCTCATTTTATAGATGATCTTTAAGATCAGATGTTTTTAAAATTCACTGTGACATGATAGGTTGGGAAACTTGCTTGTGAATTCTTTACAAAGTCAGACTAAGTTATAATTCAGGATTGTCTTTTAAACAGGTATCCAGAAACACAACTGTAGAACTACTGTAGATGTGTGACTGGTAATGATGCTTTTGCCAACTCAGAAGGGTTAAGGTAGAGGAGCTCTATCATTAGCACAGATTTGTAAATTATCTGATCATAAGGCTTGAGAATTAAAAACAAAGTCACAGATCATGATTTTTCTAATGTGCTTGATTTAATGACATACCAAGACGGTTGAAAAATATAATACCTCAAAATACCCAGCATTGTTACTAGTCATAGTACTAGATTGTGTTTACTTGGTCTTCTAGGACAGCCTGCCCTAGAACACTTCAGTAATCCACCCGGTTTCTTTGGCCAGAATGAGCACTACAGCATGTATGCCAAATGTAGAAGAATGTGTTCCTGGCCATAGTTTTGTGGTATGTACAGTACATGGTTGTAGTATATGTACTAAATTATTTCATATACAGTTTGTGCTGTACATGTTTAGAGTAGTCCCTAGAAATTTTATGGAATGGTGAGCTTGAACTAAGCCATAAAGAATGCTGAGAGAAATTCTCGGTGGGGGAAGTAAGTCTGTGCCGGTGGTGAGAGCCATCTCTGTGTGACAGTGAGGAAACCAGGAAGAAGCCTTATCAACAGTGATGGGGATGAGTAGGGAGGCCTGTAAGGCCTGGCAAAGCACTTTGTAACTTGTGACTCTTATTTTCAGTCATTGGAGAAAGGTGAGAAAGCAGTCAGTCTGGAAACATGTGCAGAAACAGTTTGGGGAAGCAAAAGAAAGCCTGCTTTAACTCAGGTGGTATCCAGAGATGGTGTAGTAGTTAGCTTGTAATTCAGGTGGTATCCAGAGATGGTGTAGCAGTTAGCTTCTGAGAGAGTTCTGGACCAATATGGGAAGACATGGAGACCAGAGAACTGATTTATTTCTGTGTTTCCCAAGTCAACTAAGGCCTATGCTGGCAGAGAATTGCTGAGTCCCTGCTGCTTTCTAGGCCAGTTGTACTCAATAAGTGCCTCTAGTGATTTATAAGTTCCTATAGTTAATTCAAAAGAAGGGACGTTCCTAGCTGTAAGGGGTGTGTGCTCTCTTAGAAATAAAGAAACCCCAAAAGCTAGCACTGTATAACCCACAAGTCTTCATCCCTAGTGTCTCTTCATAGGTGGCTTGGTGAGTAGTATCAAAAGTGAGAGCCAGGTGTATTTAAGAAGTGTTTCTTCCAGGTGCCCCCTATATTCTGGATTTTGTCTTGAATAGCACTATCCAATACAAGTTTCTGTGATGACAGACTGAATATGTGCTGTCCGGTTAGCCACCAACCAGGTGTAGTTATGGAATTTGGGTCGTGTGGCTACAGAACTGAATTTTTAATTTTATTCAGCTTTAATGAGTTTAGGTTTGCGTAGCCACATATGGCGAGAGTGTTAACAGCACAGGTCTAGAACTAGAACCATGCGTGGTCTATAACAAAAGTGCTTCCTCTGAACTCTTGGTTTTCCTAATCTAGGATTCTTACACTAAGTGCCCTTGAACACTGATTCCAATTCCTGTCTCTAAATCTGATATGCTCACCTTTATAATTTTACCATACATTCTACATATTCCATTCATAAGTTGGCAATTTATTTTAGTTAGGTGTTATTCTCATGGTATGTAGGGATACACCTTTTTGTCATCCTTTTCCTCAAACTTTTCTTCAGTTTCTTTTTTTTTAATTAATTTATTTTTGGCTGCTCTGGGTTTTCATTGCTGTGCACGGGCTTTCTCTAGTTGTGGTGAGCGGGGGCTACTCTTCATTGCGGTGCACGGGCTTCTCATTGCGGTGGGTTCTCTTGTTGTGGAACACGGGCTTCAGTAGTTGTGGCTCATGGGCTCTAGAGCTCCGGCTCAGTAGTTGTGGCACACGGGCTTAGTTGCTTCGTGGCATGTGGGATCTTCTCGGACCAGGGCTCAAACCCGTGTCCCCTGCATTGGCAGGCAGATTCTTAACCACTGCGCCACCAGGGAAGTCCCTCTTCAGTTTCTTTATAGACGTTATATTGTACATTTTCTCTTTAACCCCTAAAGATTGTTGTAAATTGAAAAGGGTGTGGTGAAATTCACATGCTGTCTATGAAGAGGCCTTACCAGTGGCTCGCCCTCCCCAGTTGACTAGGCTAAAGCTATTTCATTTCAGTCAAGGTCACACAAGAGTAAACCAAAACCAACTTAGCTACAACTTAGCTTCATTTCTAGTGATGAGGTCTTTTGGCTCTTCATATTAGAGTACCTTGAGCTACCAAGTAAGATTGCTGAGCACAGAATAAGAGTGGCTATTATGGTGCAGTTCATACAGGCAAGGCTGATGCCTATATGAACTAAAGTTGGCTATTTTAGTCAGAGGTCTGGGTATTGGAACTGGAAGAGATCTTAGAGATTCTTAGAATCCAGCTGCACTATTATACAGATGAGAGGTGAAATTAACCTTATTTAGGCTCAGGGAACTATGGGAACTACTCAACTGAGCTGGACCACTAACAGGACCTGGTAGTCCAACCTAGCAAATCACAGAGCAGGGGAACTGAGGCATACGGCAGATACCTGGGTTTGGAGAGGGATAGGGTTAGTAACACCTATTAGTAACTCAGTCCTGAAACACCCCTACAGTGAGCTGTGACGTCTTCCTCTTGAGGGGCTGAGGTATGCTGTGGGCAGGAGGCAAGTATCCTGGGGTGGGACATAGCCCGTACCCTTTCCAGAGTGTTGCTCCCTTCCCACATGTGAGGAGCCCTCCTGCCTGGGAGCTTACTTGAGGGGTTCTGGACCCAAAGTGGCCATAGTCAGGTGCTCTTGCTCCAGTGACCTGGTTACAAAGTCCTCACTTAGGGGAGGGGAGCATGCCCTGCCTCCTTTTCCATCCCTCTGGATTTGTTACCATTTTTCTTGCACTCAACACCTGCCAATAAAGATTGTCTACGCTGTAAAATAGATAGCTAATGGGAAGCAGCCGCATAGCACAGGGAGACCAGCTTGGTGCTTTGTGACCACCTAGAGTGGTGGGATAGGGAGGGTGGGAGGGAGATGCAAGAGGGAGGGGATATGGGGATATATGTATACGTATAGCTGATTCACTTTATTATAAAGCAGAAACTAACACCATTGTAAAGCAATTCTACTCCAATAAAGATGTTAAAAAAATGTATACTAGGAAAGATTAAAGAAGTAAAAAAACACAACAACATTATTTACACTGGAAAAAACTAGCTGAGTGACAGCTGAAACCACCACCAAGATACTTTGACCACAGTTTGGTCTTAGTCTAACCCCATTTTACCAGACATTAATGGGCTGCTTCCTTTTTTTTTTTTTTTTTTTTTTTTTT